TATAATTCCGTGGATGGCAGACACTCTCCAATAGCTCATTCAAGTGACGACTCTTGATGTGTAAGTCTAAACAGTGAGTTTTGGCAGGCTATTTGATCACAGCAATGCAGCTATCACAGAAAGCCTGACGCTGCCTGAATCGATATCTGTTCACTCACATTTTGCAGCAATCAGAACCAGGAGTTTCATGAAATTTTTCCCATCCTAGCCCAATGACATTGAGGCCAAATGTACTTCTTTCTGCTCCCTGGGCAATGATCATCCAGGCTTTAAAAGGAACCTACTAGACTGCACCCAGACTCACAAGTGTTAATTATCAAATTGAATGTTACATTTTTCACCTCTTATTTAAATATTCAGCGCCTTGGGACGTCCTCCCGACGTGAAAGGCGCTCTATAAATGGAATCTTGTTGTTGTTGTTGTTGTAAAGGGATTAAGTAGATTATATTCTACTGAATTGATCCATTTGCAACCCTACTGCTGAGTTGTTCCCTCCATTCATCTGACACCAGCTTGCTTCATGTCCCCTGCTCCATCCTACCATCGGTGGGCAAGCTTACAGCAATTGTACCCCTACTCTTTGGAACATATCCACCTCACCCCTCCCTCCGAACATTTAAAGCCTGTGTTAAAACCTTTCTTTTCAACACCTCCCTCCACCCCTAGCTTGGGTTCCCAGTTGGCTCTTTGAAGCACTTTGAGATGTCCTTTCGATGTAAAAAGCACTATGTAAATGTAAAATTTACTGTACAATTATTGTGTCCAATTGTCCAATCTTATTTTTCTAATTTTCTCCCCTCTGGCAAAATGCCTCTCTACTCCAAGACTGGTCTCTTGATGAGATGAGATGTGGTTCCATGGGAACCTGTGGCCTCCAATAACCCAAGCATCAAGTGTGAGCCTTGGCAGTGAATGTAAGCCACTCAGCTGTAGAGGGTGTCACAGTTAAGCCTGACCTTGCTTCACATGCACACAACTAGCAGCAAGTGCTGTAGTGGGACCAGGGCCAACAATCCTGGAAAGGCCAGGTCAACTTAACCTCCCCATGCCTGAGATCAGTAAACCCTTGGACCAGGATTTGAACCTGCAACCTTCTGGTCCATAAGCTGCAGCTCAGAACATTACACCATCAGGGCTGCACTGATCCATAATCTTATTTTCTAATATATTTAAGTTACTGCACTTGACTGGGTATCTTACCTTCCACATGTTACATGTGTTGGTGATCTCAGAATAGAGCATCATTGCTTTTAAAAGGAAACTTCATACTTACATGAGGAAAAAGGGAAAGGGGAATAAGAGGGGTGAAGGTTTGTAAACCCTGGCACTGACTAGTTGGGCCAATGCCATATTATTCTATTTAACTATATGTACACCACTCATGTTGTTTATAACTGCTGGTTAACCAAAATCAGAGAGAAATCATTATACAGGTTCCTTCAGTTTGTGACTTCTGGAGAAATGAGAGATGATAGGTTCATTTGAAGAACAAGGGTCTAAGTCTATTCTTTTAATCATTCCTCTTCTCAGTTGCCGAGGGCATACTGTTATGATTGTTTAATATGTGTCTTCTGTTTTAAGTGACTACCTTGTTTTTCCCTCCATCAAGTGCTACAACAGCAGCAAGTGTATCTTTTTCAGGTCTGACATATAATAATAATAATCCTTGCATTTGATATAGTGCTTTCCACGTCTTCTAGATATCTCAAAACGCTTCACAGAATATACTGTAAAGTGAATTGACTGCATGTTATGTGGGCGAAACGCGGCGGCCAATTGTGCACAGCAGTGTCCCACAAACAGTCAAATATTGAAGTGACCAATTTATTATTTTTCTTTTGAGGGATTATTATCAGGCGTGTGGAATAAGGAAACTTACCCAAGGTTTCGCCCTGCCAGGAATCGAACCCAGGTCTCTCGCTTGCAAAGCAAGTGCTCTAACCACTGAGCTACAGGACTCTACAGGACTCCTCCATGTATACACAGACACATTGGAGCTCTCATCTGAACATATAACATTCAGGTAAATAGAGCACTGGATTGTCAAGAACAACTTGCATTTGTATAGCAGCCTTCACAGAGCTTAAAATATCACAAATCAAATACAGGAACAGGTTTAAGTATGAGTCATTGATCTGGAACTTGCAACAAGGTGATTAATGAATCTTTAACATGGTTTTTATTTAATACTGCTGAAATTTTTTAATCTAAATTTAAAAAAAGGTATTTTTTCCCACCAATTCCCCTTCCCCTTCCCTTCAGCTAAAGGAACAGATTCTTGCCTGAGTACAATCCCTCACGTGCTGACCACTGCAACAACTCATTCATGTCAATTCCTCATATGTAAGTCCAGTAATAGACTATTCAATGTTGAAAAGGGAAATAGGCGTCATCGCCAAGTCTAATTCCGTCCTAACCTGACACGCACATAAATTAACAGCAAGGTTAACACCGGGATAATGAGCAGATGTTGGAATCTTGGCTGATTTGTTCCCCTTGCTAGCCAGTCATAGCACCTCCATTCACATCCTCTCTGAGATAGCTAGTCTAATACATAGGCCAGCGATCAAATGATTTGCCAGGGGTGGCTATCAGAGCAGAGTCAAATGGAAGCATTTAAAGAAGAATTAGACAAGCACGTAAAGAAAAAGGATATTAAAGGATCCGGGGAAAGAGCAGGAAATTGGGATTTAGATCGATATTGTTTTTAGAGAATCAAGCACAGACAAAATAAAATAGGCTAAATATTCTGTTGTACATTTTTAGGATTCTATAGTTCCCTTCTCCACTTTCCCATCTCCTTTGCTCAGCACTACCCCCATTGTAAATCTCTCTGAGATGTTAGCCTCTGTGAAAGTGATTCAAATGTGGAGCTTTCTGGTAAATCCCTGAATTATTTTTGCACTAAACAGCAGACAGTGCCTTTACAATTGAGTTGCTGAGAAACAATCTTATTATAATAATAATCCTTGCATTATGCATATTTTAAATTGAAAACAAATCATAGTTTAAGCTTTTACCAGTGTAATATTTACCAGTGTAATATTTTAACAAACAATAATTTTTTTCACACAATGAATTGTTCAGATCTGGAATGCATTGCTCGAAAAGGTGGTGGAAGCTGATTCGACAGCAACTTTTAAGAGAAGTAGATAATTATTTGGGGAGGACAAGTTTGCAGGGCAATGTGGGAATGGGATTGATTTGGACAGCTTTATATCATTCTATGATTCTAATAACAATTTAGAAACAAGACATTTGATGACATTAAAAATATGGAACAAACTCAAAATGCGGCCTTTATTTAGCACATTGTATTACAAAGAACAAGCTGCCAAAAACACACACCTCTGCCTTTTTAATTGGAAATGTGTTCCCAGATTAACAGCATTAAAATTAAATTGGAAACTCATTTAAAATGCTGAGGCTCACATTTAATTGGCAGAGTGGACTGACAGTCACAATCATTGTCAGGTCCTTCATTAGAAGAATGTTTGCTGGGACACCGGTCAGAGCTCTGGTTGGCAGTACTGCAAACTGACAGCAGCAGTTTTGCCCTGAGGAATCATGCCTTCTGTCATTCGTTCATTGAGCAACACAGATGGTGGCCGATGCAAAAGTCTTGTGGCGCAGTTTTTAATGCCCTCCTGGCAATAAAGAGACAATACAGCCCTGGAGGGCAACAGTTTGGTACTTAGAAGGGGAATGCGTGAAACATATTGTAAATAATAGTCCAATCATTCCACGCAATTTGCGACGATTTGGTACAATTTTCAGATCAAATCATGCAAAGTCCAGAGAATAAATGACTCTCATATCTGATGTCTATCTGCAGCCAGTGCAGAACCTTTTTTTTCAACAAAATAACTGTGTAATGTTATTAAAGAGTCCACGGGACACCCACCTCTTCAATACTGCTGTTATTTGGATGGTACTTGTCCAGCTAGGATGGGCGATGACTCATAGGGTTGACACAGGAAATTTGCAGGTGTAAGTGGCATATGTATGTGGAACTCACAGTCTGGTCTGGATACTCTTAAAGCTAATGATGGGTTTCAGCATGTGTCAGTCAACCTGTTGACCAAAGAAAGGAAGCACCTATCCTGCAATCATATTGGTTCAACACGGTGCCTGCAGTTACAGATACACCGAGATGGAACTAGTAAAGTGTTTTTATATCACTGGCATACTTAGGAGCTGAATTCAATGCAAGGATTATTTTAACTAAATATATGTGCAAAGCTGTATCAGATGGTGCCATATCCTAGCAATCCTGCTTCTGAAGTGTATTCTTTAGTATCCTGATTTTCTTGGTTCAGCAATGAGTGCTGTCTTACAGAAGCATTCTTAGATTGTCTTTAATGTATATGCAATATATATATGTATTTAAAAGCATATGCACTAACCCGAAAGTACTGGACTAATATTCCTTGAAATTTCCACTTTGGGGTATAATTAATTCCCTCCCTGTTTTTCTTCGCCTTTGAGAAGCTGACATTTGAAGTTTTATCCAATTCACTGAAACGTCGTTTAGTTACAATAACTATCGAGCAACTAAAACCATCAAAATGAACTGACTGTCGGAAAAAAAAACACAATGTTAAACTCAGAAAGTTCAATTCATTTTCACGTTGAACCTCATATTACTAAAGTGTAGATCCACAGAACCCAAGTGAGTACATACAGTGCAATCCAGATGTTGAGTTAAAAGAAGCCACTTTATCTCTACATAATGCATAATATTCCTCCTACGCCTTATCAGGAATCAGTGTGCTTCGGGTCAAGGCTGGCAATGACATTCTCTAATCAGGGACATGCTCGAACAATCTCTTATTCGCCTTTGCTAATCGACTTTTCCCCGGACGTTTTCTTTAATATGTTAGACGATTTAAAGTGAAATCTGATAAGAATTTGCAGAAAATGTCTAGCGGCACAATACAGCCAACATATTAATGATAACATGCAATCTGAAAAGCAGTGCAGAACTTAGTAAACTTACTTGGATGGCGTTGGTAATGTTCCAGCCTGCTTCCCATGTGGTGATGTGTGGGGTGTCCTGGCGAGGGGATAGTTGGTCAATTTCACACCTCTCTACCTGGGGCTCCAGGCACTCATTCCTCCCCTCTTTTCCAGGACAAAGTCCTCTGTGATCTGCATCCAGCTCATCCCGCTTTGCAAAGCTCAGATTTTCTTCGTCAACTTGAAATCCATATTGCTGCTTTTTGAGCAGCCTGGTTAACATGTTCTGAAAGGTGATCATAATCTTGGAGGCAGGAGTTAACCTGTTTTATTGAAGAGACAATAAGATAACAGTCAAGTTTTGGACAAGAGAAGAGAATCTTTGGGGGTGTTTATCACCAGCTCCCTCCACAGCCACCAAAAAAAAAACATGCAGCATAAAATCAGCTAGAAATATTGAGCTACTTATTTACCTTTGGACTTTTAGAGTTGTATCAGAAACCAAAAATCAATTTCCACTGAACTGGTGTGCTCAAATTCCAGAGCTATCATACAACATAAGACGTGGTGGGGAAATATATAATCTCTTCAACAAGATTTCTGAACAATCTGCAAACCATATTGAGCAAATAAGGCTCAGAGCCCTTGAAGAGAAATCTGAAATTATAATTTTTTTGTATATCACTTGAAGTGTCCAAAATGCCTTCAGTATAACATTTGAGCATTGGGTTCCTGATGCGTGAATTTATGAATCTGTCATATATCAATCATTGTAGTGAAACCAAATGGTTATTCGATGGAATCATTGAATCAAGCCCATTTCTGCCATGTTACTAACAGCCTATTTCTAGATCACCGAAATGCATGACAGCTATGTTCGCATTGTGTTTAATTGTGACTTCATTCCATTGATATTCCATTCTGCTTTTGTTTATGTTTTTATAAATTGCTATCTCCCTAATGTACTTAGTCACTAGTAGGTCATTTAGCATTCGACAAATACAGGTTGAAGCCCTCACTAAGTGGATGGAAGGTAACAGGAATTCCCTGTGAGCTTCCTGGTGGGCAACACACATCAGCATAAAATGCGTGAGAGAATTGCCACCAGTTTGGATATCCTGCAGCTCAGTGGTTAGAGCACTCGTCTTGTAAGAGTGAGACCTGGGTTCGATTCCTGGCAGGGCAAAATGTTGAGCAAGCTTTGTTACTCCACACGCCTCTATTTGCCTAGCAGTAAGTAGGAACCCGGGTTGTTAGATGATTGGCGGATCACTTTTCCGGAGGTAATAATTCCTTCAAAATTAATAATAATAAATTGGTCACTTCAATCCATGACGGTTTGTGGGACACTGCTGTGCGCAATGTTTCGCTCACAAATTAACCACAGTCAATTCACTACACTATATTCTATGAAGCGCTTGAGATGTCTCGAAGACGTGATAAAGCACTAAATGCAAGGATTATTATTATTATTGTGACGTAGGAGTGAGTTTGCCGATAAGAGATCAGTTATCTGTATGATTCCTGCATAATGCATGCTGTTCAGAATATGGTTATTATTATCTTCCTTCCCATAGCTCAGACAAACATCCCTTCCCATTGAACAATGTTTCTATCAGTTGGAGGAGGTGTGGAGCTTAAGCAATGGCTGCTTACCTCTTTGCAAACCAATCAAGGTAGATTCCAAGTACTGGATGTATGAATGGATGTCCATGACGTCCGACTCCAGGTAGCACTTTCCAGCAGCTGTCACCCCAAGCCTCAGAGTTTCTTCATCAGTAATCTGACAAAAAACATCTGCCTTCAGTGTGGTGGTTTTGTAACACATTTTGCCACAGTTCATAATACCGAAAATATATCTCAACTGGAGCAGCATGCAACTTTTTATGCTACAAAGAGGTTGTCTGGGTTGTTTCCCCAATAATATAACTGCATTCATTTATTCCAGGTAGATGTGAATTCAGCAATTGAGGCCACATGTGTCACCACTGGATTTATCCTACTACAACAAAGATGTTTTATTTAAATTGTAGCAAATACGGTTGACAGTCATGCTTCTTCTTTTAAGACAATCATTCCTTTCTTTTAATCATTAACCTATTGTAGTAACAGAGAATTGAACACAGTCCGTATTACGAAAGGGAAAAAAAAATCTATGTTCATGCACCACCTCACTATAGACAGGCTGCAATTTAATAGTCATTGCAATAGGAAGGTGTAATGCACTGCCATGTGGTGTGCGCAGATAATGTATTCTGCAATGCATATAAGAATCAGACCAAAGACAACAGAGACTCCCTGCTATTTGCGGGATAAGGATGAATGCAAATATGACAATTACTTTAGTTTGTCAGTAATGTAACATTTATTGAGCCAGCTTCCTTTCCAAATTGTTTGCACATTGCTACCTTTGTTTAATTTGTCTCCTGAAATTTAGGCGTGTTGCTATCATTTTGTATTTGACACAAAAATATTCCTCTTCATTGTTGCCTTTAATCAATGTTGCCTTTAGTCCAGTATGTTTCATAAAGATCTATTTAATGTTACCATGGTAACTATTTCAGGCAGAAATTTTAAAGATCAATGTAAAATATTGTCCAATTATAAAAATGAAATAATATACATGCACATGATCTGGACCTTTATTACATTAAACCATTTCAAAACACTTTACAGTTTTCTGTATAGTGTAGCGATTGTGTGTTTGTAGGCGAATTATAGCAGCCAATTTGCCAAGGCAATGTCCCTCACTGAGCAATGAACAAATTATGAATTTACATTTATATAGCACCTTTCACATCAGGAGGCATGACCAATTTTTAAAAAAATCTAGGGGATTATTGGCCAGGAGGAACTCCCTTCCCTTTTTGAATAACATCTTTATTGTTCACCTAAAAATGCAGGCGAGACCTCAGTTTAACATTTAATTGCAAGGACATTACCGGTGAAAATACAATACTCCCTGGCATTGCACTGCAGTGTCAGCCTAATCTATAATTAACAGGGCGGCAATAAAATTCATTGAAGGCAAAGTAAATAGTAAAAATGTTGCATTTAATTTACCATTCAGATTCTGTCGCGAAAAGTAAACAAATGGTGGTGTACCTTCTAAAATATTTGCAATTGGTTAACATATTTGTATCAAATGTAAAATAATGCATTTTCAGTATTTATGATGTCAGCTCTGGTCTGCCTTTAATCATGTAAGTAAATAATAATTCTTGCATTTGATTTAGTGCCTTTCACGTCAGGAAGACATCTCAAAGCATCTCACAGGATTTACTGTTTTACAGGATTTGTAGTGACTATTTTTTTTGTAGGCAAACATGACTGTCAATTTGCAAACTGCAATATCCCACAAATAGCCATGAAGTGAATGACTAATTTTATCTGGGGGATTGTTGTCCAGAACACTGGAAAAAACAACCCTTTCCAAATGACTGTCAGCAAAGCTTGAATGTAATAATAATAATCCTTGCATTTGATATAGCGCTTTTCACGTCGGGAGGACGTCCCAAAGAAGGTAACAAACTATCTGTATCGCCCATAAGAACACACAGCCACTCCACTTTACAGTATATCCTTTGAAGCATTTTGGGATGTCCTCCCAATGTGAAAGATGCTATAGCAAATATAAGGATTATTATTATAATATCAACCATAGGTGATTATAATGTAATAAACTAGATTTATCAACTTTGGCTCAAAATACTTCACTGAAGAATTCTTTGTAAATAAATTATTGGAGGTAGTAAGAGATACATTATGATATCCCATAGGAAATGAATTACTGTATATATTTTGAATTATATAAATATACACAAAGCTAGGAACTATGAATCATAATTAGCCCCATTTCGTGGAGTCCTGTAGCTCAGTGGTTAGAGCACTCGCTTTGCAAGTGAGAGACCTGAGTTCAATTCCAGGCAGAGGGCGAAACCTTGGGCAAGTTTCCTTACTCCACACGTCTAATAATAATCCCTCCGAAACAAAACAATAATAAATTGGTCATTTTCAATCTACGACTGTTTGTGGGACACTGCTGTGCGCAATTGGCTGCTGCGTTCGTCCACAAATATACAGTCAATTCACTTTACAGTATATTCTGTGAAGTGCTTTGGGATGTCTAGAAGATGTGAAAAGCGCTATATCAAATGCAGGATTATTATTATTATCATTATAACCCACAGTTGACAAAATCAAAAGTGAATTATGATCATCTCCTACAAGTCTTTGAAAATATTGTTTTATAACAGATTCCTTGTGATAATAACAAAATGTCAACTATTCCATCCCATAGTGACTTGTTTCCACCTAGCATTGCACTGCTAAAGAATTGGAGGTAACATGTACAAAGGTGGAATATATTCCACTATTAAACTTTGTCACCTGTGTACATGTTATAGGGTTTAATAGCGGCTATATTCATTTGCACATATAACATAAGTTTTAGCAATAGAACATGAAATATGTTCTATCAATAAAACATATTTCATTAAAAAAATGTTTCAGTGATAAAATGAGGCATGATGTAATATTCTTTCTGATCCTAGAAAGTTTACAGCTGGTTCTAGCAACACCAATTGTCACCTGGTATAATCCCATCAACTTTCCCTATGTATGATGTCATGCACGGTGAGATGCTGGTTGAATTCTCCACTTTGCCAATTTCCCAATCTCAGTTGTTTTGCTATGGAAAGATGCATTGGCATTAATGGTACTTTCCTAAGTATCTTCTCAGTTCCCTTTTAACAACAACAATTGACATTTATATTACACTTTTTATTATGGGAGGTTGTCTCAAGGCACTTTATAAAGCTGATGGGGTACCCCAGTTAGTGCGGGGCTGGGGTGGGAGGTGAGGGGCAGTGAATAAAAGCGCTTAGACTAAGCGGCATCTGAGAATATTAAAAGAATAATAAAAGGCACGATGGAAGGATTCCGGGATGGAGTTCCAAAGAACAGGGGCAGAATGACTGAAAGCCTTTACAAGCCAGAGGGCATGCAAGAATGGCCAAGTGAAAACACCCCATCTCCTTTTCCTTTCTTCGTTGTTGTAGCTCCTGGTTTGGGCTCAGCATTTTTCCATAGCAAGACGTCTCACTAGTACTATGACTTCTAAAGAGTTACAGTCATATTAATATTCCCTTTATTTGAATTAAAGCAATACAGAGATTAAGTTGGGAGCCAATATTAAACAGACAAGTGAATATTGTATATTTTATTACAATGGGGCGAGGGTGGGGGGGGGAGAGTCTATATTAACAAATTCAAATTTAATTATTGCATTGTTACAATTGAAATGAAAGTCTGTTAATAATCTGAATGGAATCATACAGTGAATTGGAACAGTGAGCTTCACTCACATATGTCCCTCCATGGAAATAATGCTTATAACAAACCTTTTGGAAATCAGCCAAAAAATGTAATGCCAATGTGAGGAGAATAATATAGCAATGCACTTGTACAAATTTGATGTTAAATAAAACATCTTGATTTATAGTTTTGAAGCTTCATTGAATGCACTATTGTCTGGAAAATGTGTAAAATTAAAATGGATGTTCAGAGATATGTACGGCAGGAATGGTGTGAATGTATTCCTCTAACTTCCACATGTGTGCGGATGACACCCAACTCTACCTCTCTGCTTCCACCCTTGACTGCAGGACCATTGCTGCCCCGACTGAATGTCCGTTGGATGAGAGCTAACTTTCTTCAGTTGAACGTCAACAAGACCGAGGCTCTCCTGATTGGCTCCCGTCAGCGCCTCCTCACCTCAGGCGCTGACAGCATCACCATCCATGGTTGCACACTCCACCTTACTAAGCCAGTCCAGAACCTTGGGGTCTTCTTTGACCCTCAACTATCTTTACCGCTCTGCCTTCCCCCACCTCCGCAACGTCGCCCGGTCCGCTCGTCTCACATCTCTGTCTAACGAAACCCTCATACATGCTTTCATTACATCGAAGCTCAACTATGCAAACCCATTGCTTGTCGGCCTCCCCAACTCCTCACTCCACAGGCTGCAAATCATCCAGAATTCTGCAGCCCATGTCCTCTCCCGCACTAGACTCCACAACACTATCATCCTCATCCTTGCCCAACTCCACTGGCTTCCTATCTCACAGAAGATACAGTTCAAGATCCTGATCCTCACCTTCAAAGCCCTCCACGTTCTTGCTCCACCTACCTCTGTGACCTCTTAACTCCCTATCATCCTGCTTGCTCCCTCCAGCTTCACGCCCCCTGCCTTGCTCACCCCACTATTGGCGGGCGGGCCTTCTGCCACTTTGCACCCACCCAGTGGAACTCTATCCTGCAGTTCCTCCGCCTCTCCCCCTCCCTTGCTATCTTCAAGACCCATTTCAAGACCCTCCTCTTCGACTACGTTTTCGATCTTCCTGCTATCCCACAATTTTGCCCACAAATATACAATCAATTCACTTTACAGTCTATTCTGTGAAGCGCTTCGAGACGTCCAGAAGATGTGAAAAGCGCTATATCAAATGCAAGGATTATTATTATTATTATTACCTCCCCCCGGCCTCCACCCTCCCCGACTCCGCCCCCCAACTCGGGTCTGTAACTCTGTCTGTCCAGTGCCTTGGAACATCCTATCGACATGAAAGGCGCTATACAAATATAATTTTGTTGTTGTATTAATCCAGTGATATGTTTTTTAGATATATGTAGATGGCTAGTTGTACTGTATTTAAATGGATTCAACATGGAATATTGTATCAAGTATCTTAATTGGAGAAATATGTCAGGATATTGTGTCAACTTGGTTGAATTGGAATTGGATGAGTGTGGAAACATTTTTATAATTAGTGGATGACCTGT